GAGGCAAGTCACAAGAGATGCTTAACTACCGGGAACAAACTGAGGGTTGCTGGAGGGGATGTGGGGGGGATGGGGTAACTGTGTGATGGGCATTAAAGAGGGCACTTGATGTAATGAGCATTGGGTGTTATAGGCAACTGATCAATCACTAAATACTACCTCTGAAACTAATAATAAACTGTATGTTAACTAACTTCAATTTAAATAAAATCTAAAAAAGAAAAAAAGTCATCTGATCAAGTCAACTCATTTAGATATTTGGGAGTATCGTTTGAACCCACCCATTCTAAAGAGCCTTCAAGAAAGCAATCTCAACAAAGGTAATTCTGTAAGAATGCAATGATGCTGAGAGGCAACCTAAAATTTTTCAGGTCCCATGGTATGAAACTCTATAATCTCCAATGAACAGTTGTCCAAATGTTGAGCAAATTCAAAGCTTTGAGTTGTTATTTATTTTTGCTTGTAGTATTATTTAGTGTATTCAGAAGCCCTCTGGCATCCAAACTCCAAATACTAGATGAAAGAACTATTTGGAGAGAAGATATACCAGGATACCACATCTTCACATAGAATGTCTACGCATATCTGGTGTCTGAAGTTTAATAGTCTCTTCAATCAGTAATTAATTGTATTTCAACAAGTCTTTATTCAATTCTTACTATGTTGACTGCAATTCCACAGGTATGGTGGGAGAAATAAATAAAAGAAATAGTTCCTACTGTCAAGGAGTTTACAGTCTAGCAGAATTAACTTCAAATAATTATTATACTGAGAGAAATAAGAAAACATCAATTCCCAGTTACATGATTGAGTCATTTTGGATCTGATTTAGATGAAAATTTGAGGCCAGTACCATAATGGGATGGCACTTTGGCATCATGGGAGGAGGTGGAATATTGTGCACATGGTGAATTGTATGTGAATTGTAGTGGCCAGTGGATAAACTGTGGTAGACCGTCTCCAAAGATGACTGCCATCATTCCCTTCAAGTAATGGAGAATAATTCCCTCCCCCTGAATCTTGGCTGACGCTAGTGACTTGCTTCACTAAGAATGTAGTGGAAAGGACCTTCTAGGAGTTCTGAGGCTAGGTCCTAGAAGCCTTGCTGCTTCCACCCAGGTGTCTTTCTTGCGTTCCGCTATGGGTAGATTCCTGTGACAACTACATGCAATAAATTAGGGGCAGAGAGAAACTGAAGACAGAAGAGCAGGAAGTCATTGCAGTAGTTCAAGTAAAACATTTAAAAAAAAAATCATAATAGAGGCCTTAAAACCAGAAAGTAATAGGAAGACAGGAGACGAAGAATGTCAGAGGTGAGCAGAGGGGAAAATCCAAAACACTTTCCAGCTGATGAAACTTAAAAGAACAAGAAAAGGTAGAAGTCAAAGTGGGTTCTAGAGGCTAGAAAATTTATGACTTGTTCAGGGTGTCCTAACTCTTAACTCTTAATTGTACCTGCTTTCCATATAAAGACTATTTTTCAGCACCTAGACAACCAAAAAGAGAATGATGCTATTAATAAAGATTAGGATCCAAAAAGAAAGCACACATGGAGAAAACAAGAGGAAATTAAATTAGAGGTGCTGGGCAGCCATCCAGGAAGAACCATTACAACAAGCACATGACAATGGAGGTACTGAGTGCCTTTTCTGGAACTGAGTACTTTTAATATCTGTTTGATACTCTAAAGTCACCCAAGCCCCCAAAACAAGGACTTCTTTTGTGTCTCCACATGGTTGGTGGTTTCATTTGAAGTTAATCCCTTCTTTTTTCTGGCCCAAAATCCCTTACCAATAAACGCCTTGTTAAACATTAAAAGCACTTAATGGTAAATTTGTAATGGGTTTGAATAAATTGCTCTCAAACTAAAAGTTTTCTACTTGAAAAATTAAATTTTCAGATTTACAGAAGTTTCAGATTTTAGTTGTATACTCCGTGGCATTTCAAATTATCCACATTTAAAAAAAAAAGTTCCTTCACACGTTGTCAAAACACATGATTTGGCGTCCTGGGCTGCGGTGATATTTGCTTCCATCCTGCCTCAAGTACTAAACACTGAAAGAAGACTGAAATCCCTGCCTGTCCTAGGAGTTTACCTTCCATCCTCTAGGTCCTCCACGTCCCTAATCCTGTAAATCTTTGTACTACAGTTTTTTTTTTTTTACAATTGGGCCTTGGAGGAAAAGAAACACCTCGGTACATTAAAGGATTATTTAAGGCTAGAAAATTTATGACTTGTTCAGGGTGCCCTAACTTTTAACTCTCAATTATACCTTCTTTCCACATAAAGACTATGAATGCATATACTATAGAGCTTACCCAACCTTGTGAACTCAATCAGGCTCACAGATATGTACCACATCCCCATGAGCAGATTAGCCACTCCTTTTTAAAGACTCCCAAACTAACTTATGTTAGGTTATAGCTATAACTAATGTTGCCAAACAGCATGATCAAATTCATTTACATGTATTATTGAAATTGTGTGAGTTAGGGGCGCCTGGCTGGCTCAGTCATTAAGTGTCCGCCTTTGGCTTGGGTCGTGATCCCAGGGTCCTGGGATCGAGCCCCACATCGGGCTCCCTGCTCAGCGGGAGGCCTGCTTCTCCCTCTCCCACTCTCTCTGCTTGTGTTCCCTGTCTTGCTGTGTCTCTCTCTGTCAAATAAATAAAAACTTAAAAAAAAATAGCTATGAAATTGTGTGAGTTAGATCAGTATTTCTCAGACTTTTCACATAACTCCTTAAAGACTCTTTAGACATTTTTTGTTAATCATCCCCCCATACAATTTTAATACACTTAAAAGTATATCTGTTATTGTACTATTGAGTACTATTTTTATGCTTTATATATTTAAAAAAATACTTTTTTTCAAACTCCCCAAGAACCAATTTTTACCCCCCTAAGGAGGATGTCTCTCTCACTGAGAATGCATGTTTTATTTAGATTAATAAATTGTTGCTCAAATAAGAATTATTCTTATCGCCAAAATAATGCTAAGCCTTAGATCATTATATAGGGACTCATGAAGAACATGAGAAAGACTCATGACCATACTCCTGAAACTTTCAACTTCAAGACTGAGAAGTGCAATGATATCACTTTCAGTATCTGCTAAATAAAACTATGAAATTCTTCCATTTTAAAGGCCACTGTCATTCCTCCATTCTTCTCTGATTTTGTTGAGAGATCAGCTCAGATTATTTGTGGCTAACAAGTAAAATATAGATTTTAAAACCAGAAGTATAAGTAGTTCTATTCATGAGGTCCTCAAGTACAAAACAGATAATAAAGATACAAATAAGAACTTGACAATCTTAAGTACTCCCAATTCACCTAACTACAGAAACAGTAGTAGCACTGACATTTGGTAGAAAAGAACTGTGAAGGAGTAATATTAAGATGAAGAACACTATTTAAATACAAACTGTTTAAAAGGAAATATCAGAAAGCAATCATTTTACTAATAGTCCCAAAAATGCTATTTACGTTGATGTATAATTAAAACTCCTCAATATTAAAGCTCAAAATATATTTCTTCTTAGTTAATACACCTGGATCTCCTTTCTTCCTCCAGCATAAGTAGAGCTAAAATACCACTTACTCCTGGCTAAAGCAAGGACAATAGAGGAAGAAGAAAAGCCATAGGGTTTGTAACCCATTAGGGCTCCATCCCACCCACCCTACCATTCACCCAGAGGAAGACTAATGGGGTGGGGAAGGGGCATAAATTATTTATAGCAAGCATAAGGCATTCTTACAGTCAGCAGAAACAAAGATCTTCCCCTACCAAAATAGAAAAAGGGGGATTATGCCTAATACCAGAGTTTATTAGGGGCAAAATATTTAAGGAACAGCCACACAACCTCAACTACATCAAAATATTACATATTTTAAGACAAAGAAAACATTTTGTAATGGGAGTATCATTACTCTCTTATGACTTGGCAACCTGAAAGCTGTTAAGCCTGCAACAGGACTTCAAAGTTGAGACTTAAACTGTCTTTTCCAGTTAATCCCTTCTTTTTCTGGCCAAAAGAAAGAAATGTAGGATTTCTTTACCATTACTTTAGTGATACTTTAGTGTCACTAAAAAATACCTGTCTTCTTGTTCTAAGGTATGAGCTGTATACATTTTTAAGTCTCTACCTCCTGAAGAGATTTAGCAAACTAAGGCTTTATTTTCTGAGTAACCAAAATGTCAATTTTATTAGCAATTGTAAATTTTCTGTAATACTTTGATTCCATTTATTTTAAAATAATTCTAATAAAGAATACCTAAAATCATGAATTATCCTTTACAATTATTTTTTTATCCTGCAATTTGTACATACTAAATTTCTCAATTTAGATAGCAAAAAGTTATATTATATAAGAATATAGTGTGTATCTGGGGATAGTGGGTACTGACCTAGTGATATTTGGTCATTTAAAACAGAAGACTTGGTTAAATGATTACCAATAAAAACACAAAACATTTCTTTATAAATCAGAGGCAGCCACCAATTAATCGCCCCATTTTCAGGTCAACTGAACACCCTTCCCATTTGCCTTAACATAAATCCACAATGCCAAAATGAGACAGTCTGGCCAGCACAATGACAGTTATCTAGTAAACAATTTATAGTAGGAACTTTTCATAATTAAGTTTCTTCCTTCATTTTAAAAATGGGATCAGGGATCAATGAAAAGATAAGTTAACAAAGGGTTAAGAAAAAACATAATCATAAATCATATTTATGATCCCATACCAAATATCTGTAAAAAAATAGTTGTAATTGTTCATTCAGCAATTAATGTATCAAACACTGTGTTAACTATTAACATTGAACATGACAGTCATGGGAGAAAAATCCATTTCTTCAAAAAATTTTTTTAAATTAATAAATTTATTAAACAAAATACTGCCTCAAAGTATATCCTGGCTAGGGAAAAGAAACATGAAAAGCAAAAAAGTCAAGTCAGAACAGTAGCAAAGTGTATGAGAAATTATGTATTTACCTTGGCTCTGCACTCAGTGTTATTACAGTTTTTTGTGGTAGAGAACCGTGTGAGTTTTGTTTCAAATCCTGTAAAAATAAACAAAAATTTTTTATTTTACTTTTAAAACTTAAGTTTCAAAACTAGCTATGTAATAGTACTTACAAAAATCCTAAAAAGGACACAATGGTGTCCTCCTTCTAGCTACATAAAGGTCCATCAAAGTTCAAAATAAGTAATTCTTGTGTGTGTGCATTTTTATGGGTGTGTCTTTAGACTTCAGTACGGCATGTGTTACACGGACTACTAGAGTCCAATTAGGAACCAAGTAAATCAAAGTTCTAAAGATCATTTTGCAAAAAGTTTCACTATTTTACCTTTGTATCACAGGTTTCATATCCTTAAGCAATGTATGTCCATTTATTGGATTTTTTACTTCAACATGAAAATATGTAACCATAATTTGATTGCAAACATCAGTATATGAAAATACTGAACTTACTATCTCTGATTCCAGATGTGTAAGTTCCAATTACATGTAAAATTTCAAAGCCTATGGCTCACAATAGACTCTAATGATAAAATATTACAGTTTTAAAACATCTGAGTTGCCAAATCGAAGTCTAAAGAGGTTTGCAATCCCCCATTTTTTCCCACTGTTCTTCCTTGCTGCTGAAGAGTATATTCTTCCTCTCAGAGTATGTTCTGTTTTATTGGCTCCCCTGATCCTAACCACGATACAAGCCGAGGCAGGAATCATCCCATCTAACAGATAAATGAATGAGGGCTCACAGATGTTAAGCAACTTTTTCAGGCCCATGCAATCAGGTACAGAGGTGGGGCTAATAGCTAGTCTTTAATTCCTCAACTGCTCCTCTGCTGTTACACACATCTGAGCACTGCTCACAGCGCTCCATGGGCTCATCCTGAAACCAGAAGACAATTCAGGGGCTTCTAATTAAAGCCAAGCAAAATAACTAATTACAGCGTCTAGTTACCTTACAGTACCATATTAATAGTGTTCTCAAAGCTGTATGTTCCACATAATGAAGTTCATTAGTTTTCATGCTTAGATTTCGTCAGAACAAAATATACACCATAAATCAAATACAGACACACTTACAGGAAAGAAGAACACATAGGTATTTCATATAAAATGATACAAATTCTTTCAAATCATGTATAAGGAAATCACTATTTTTCAAGGTTTCTTTTCACTCAGCTTCTCACCCCCTTTTCTGAACCAAGAACAAAAGAATCACACATTTTTATGGTAATATAAAAGGTAGCAACTAACCATGTCTAGGAGGTTATCAAAAGAGTAAGAGTTGTACGAGTTTTTGTCCTTCAAAATAAGAAGTAGTGCAGAATATCCAATTATCTTCTTCAAATTCGTTAATGAATGAAAGAGTCTGTGAACCAAAAATTTTTACTGGTCTGAGAAGCAATTCAAACATCAGTATACAATATTTTCAGTTTCTTTAATAATGGCCAAACCACCATCATCCTGTATTCACAAAGTGAAACCTATAATGAAGCTATAATGAACGGACTCTTCTTTGCCCAGAACTAAGTACTTAGGAAAAAAAAGTTAGTCAAAAGATTTCACTAATAAGGATTCATTTAAAATAGAAAACTTTCTGTATACACCTGAAACGTGTAAGCTTAATCAAACTACCGATACTTTCTACAAGTATCATGCCAAATACTAAGAATATTCAACATGATCACTCCAATAGCTTTAAGGCTTTGTTACCAAAGAAGTGATTTGGTCCTTTACTTTAGAAAATTCTTTAACAAATGTTGAAACAGCAAAAGAAAGCATGAGATTAACTGTCACTCACAAGAATATTTGTTCAGTATACATACTTCAAAAAACTCAAATTCCTGAAAACTTCAAATAAATATTTTGTTGACTTTAGTTTCATGTTCTTGTTCAAAAAAAGAGAAAGTTTTCACAGGTCTGGATAATGAAATTGTCTTTCTCCTTGTTACTTTTCTTGGTCATTAAAATTGTTAATTGTATTCCAATTGTACTTTTATGTCTGAGGAACCAAAGAGATGCGTATGAATCAACCTACTCAGGATCAATTCTGGAATATAATCTTGGTACAGTATCAACTATTGCTGAAGCACTACACGTGGGAAAAGAATTTGAAGGTTTTTTTTTTTCAAGTTCCATCTTGTTTCTTTAAAGCTTTATAGAACAGGTAACCCTAAGTAAAGCCACTGAAGAAATCTGTCGAAAAACTTGGCTAAACATGCTTTCAATCAGCCATTGAATCTATTATGTTTATAGAGTGATTATATTATTTTCCCCAATACAGGACGCAATTTTGGACCTACATGTTAAGAACATTTTTGTTGGCATGCAATGACAAAAAAATGTTTAAGAGAATTAAAAATAACTTCTTTTTACAGAGCACTGAGATTACTTTCAAAGATGTAAGTGATCACAATCAGTAAGTTAATTAACTATGCAAATGTGTTATACATACATAGTGTTAAAGTCTTCTGCATGTGAGTTCAGGCCATCATCCAGCTAAGTTTCTTAGTCTATTCAAATGTTTTCCTAGGTGATAACAAGTGTTTTCACCAGACTAAAAGACAATATGAGTGACTACAATTCAGTTATAGGAACAAGCCCCTCGATTTAAGTTTATTTTTATCTATATGGCAATCTTTATTAGGCTGTCAGAACCTGAAGAATAAAAGTCATGTTCTACTCCCCCTGCTTGTGTTCCCTCTCTCACTGTCTCTCTCTCTGTGAAATAAATCTTTAAAAAAAAAAAAAAAAAAAGAAGGGGCGCCTGGGTGGCTCAGTCGTTAAGCGTCTGCCTTCGGCTCAGGTCATGATCCCAGGGTCCTGGGATCGAGCCCCGCATCAGGCTCCCTGCTCAGCGGGAAGCCTGCTTCTCCCTCTCCCACTCCCCCTGCTTGTGTTCCCTCTCTCACTGTCTCTTTCTCTGTGAAATAAATAAATAAAATCTTTAAAAAAAAAAAAAGTCATGTTCTCCATCAGCTAAAACCTTATATGTATTACAGTGCACTGGAGCTTAAACTGAGGGAATGCCACACATCAATGTTTGTATCCTAAAGGCACATGCACAGTCTTCTAACGAGGTAAGCACTAAGAACTGGTAGTGTATTCCCCAAATGCTTTCTCAGGATGCATAAAGCCATTCTGTTTAAAGCAAAACAAGACTAAACACAGTAAATAAGTTTGGGAAACATTGGGTAAAGCAAAATTTTAATGTTTCAACAATTCATCATTGTGGGATTTCCCAGAGCCTCTAATTTTCTAACATGCCCGTATTTTATTATCACTGAACCGGACCATCACTTAGAAATCACAGTTTTCTACTCTGGTATCATTACTACTGTTTCAGGCAGATACTATCATGTTTGTCAGTGAAGTTTGATCTATACATATGGGCCCTCATACTTACCCTTTGTTCATTTTTTTCTCCTACCTACCTTAACTACAACATAGAAATAGGCAGAATTCTAAATATTTCTGTAACTGATCTCATTACCATTTCTTCTCTTGCACATAGCCCCATTATCCACTTTTAGGCTGAACATCCATCACAAACACTGTCCCCCTCTAATTCATTTTTTCATGCCATGATTAGAATTAACCTTCAAATAGCCATGATGTATTCTTGTTCTCCAGGTGATAATTATATAAACATTCAATCTACTGTTGAGAGCAGTACTCTAAGTAAGAATCGCCTTTAGATGGCAGAAGAGAAAGCTAGAAGGGTCTGGACCCCTGTCGGCACTGTAGAGCTGCTATACCTGAACTGGGGACCTGCAGACTTCTTCCACGTGGCATAAAAATAAGTAGGATAGGATTTATTCAGTTTTAAGTTGTTATTACTAGCAGCCAAATGCAATCCTTAACTCATACACTTGTTCACAGGGACACTTCTGCCAACATTTGAATAAACAGTCAACAGTCTAAGAACAAGAGAACACCCAATGCTAGCTGCCTCTTTGTTTATAACTCTCTAACTTGTGTTTTGAAATTTCCTACTTAAAATGTCTATGCTAATGACTTGATAATTGTGTATGACTTCTCAATGAAGTGTGAAGTGCTCGCAAAGCAAATTTACAAATGTCAAGTATAATTTGAGAATTATTGTCTTTTTTCTCTAAGATGCAATTTTGTATGGTGATGTTTTTATAAGCTAAAAGCATAACCAAACATATGGAGGAACTAATGACAGCCCTTCTGGAAAGGTTATGAGATAGAAAATGTTCAGTTGCAAAAACTCAATGACCTGTACCCAAGTCTCTTTCAATATGGCAGCCAGAGAGAGAGCAGGTAGACAGTATAGGAGAGTGACTTCTTCATTTCCTCTTAGGAACTCTTTTCTGAATATAAGCCTCACTTTTAAATTCAATAAACCAAGAAGACAGGAGCAGGTGAAAAGGAAAAAAATGGAGGATCTGACCTTATTTTAAAAAATGCCTTCTGTGGGAGAAAAACCAATTATCATGATCAGCCAATGAATGTTTTCCATTTTAAGCCCAGCTCAACCTCAACAGATGCCAAATACATTTGCCACAAGAAAACTGAGAAGATATTCAAGATGCTACCATGAATATATTTTCAAGGATTCAAGTCAACTAATGAAACCTCAAGAATTTGTTTTTCAAATATCTAGAAAGGCAGTCAAAATACTATAACTAAAATTTTAATTAACACTTATAATGATTAGTGATATCAGTTGTGGATCAATCTGTAATGTTGACTTTATATGTTGTATACACTTTTAACATATGGGAGAGAGCATTTATTAAAAAAAGAGGTTCACTTCTTAAATCTGTATTATAAGAAAATCAGAGCACACTTTAACAATTTTAAAATATTATTGAAGTACACCATTTTTGATAGGAAAAAAATCTGGAAGAAATAATAACTAAGCCATAATGAAATAATAGTCAAAACTCCTTCCCCAACATAGGAATCTCCTCTACAATGATCCTAATGAATGGTTACCCAAACTAGGGCATGATGATGGAAATCTCACTATCACAAAAGGTAAGCCTTTTGATTATTGGGAAGCACTATTTACAAAGTCTCCTGCTGTTCTGAGCTAAAGCCTGTACTCACTGTTTCCAATCCTGCAATGTGAAAATAACTGAGCTTCCCCTCCCTCACTCATCTCACAGACCTTCTAAGAGTTGAAGATGGTTTTGATATCAATACCCAAGCCAACCCTTCTCATCCCAATTCCTTATATCATCTATATATGTCAAAGTTTCTAGGTTCTTCTACTTCCTGGCTAAACTCTAGGCTGAGAACAACTGGATATGAAGTAGGATGAAATTAAACTGCTATACAATCAAGTATGGCTCTTTATCTCCTTGGATTATAGCTATGATTTATTTGATACCAAATCCCTGGTCAACAAGGTAACCCCAATTACCACATTATACTTGGGAGAAAACAGAATCAGCTTTATAATAATGTTTTACTACTCCATTTGCAGAAATGCACTGCAATAAAAAGTTAGGACAGCTAGTACATTCTCAATACAATTCTTGAAAAATGCTTTGAATATTGATGTTGTTTTTCTATAGCAATGCTTATAAGGGATGTCATTATTGATATGGTCTGATGTACATTAACAATTTCATCAAAGATATAAGCCTGTGACCCAAAATTAAAAAAAAAATTGTTTTATAATCACTTTTTAATAATTATATTACCTGGTACCATAATCCACAACCACCCAATCTTTTGCAGTTCCTGTGATAGCATCATGATGTTGAAACAGTCCCAAATTTCTTCTGGCTTCTGTCAGTGCCATGTAATGGGATGATGAAAGAAATTTACTTATCTTGTATTTCTGAGCTTGTTTCAGGGTGAAATAGTAAAGAATTTCAGCAGCCCTAATCGTATAAAACAGTCATTAATTCTTATTTCAAAACAAACATTTACTATTTAAAATATGTGGTACTGATACAATTTTTAAATGCATTTTTAAAAAAATCCACATTTCAGCACAATTGATAAAAAAGATATTGATAATAAACATTCCTATAAAACCATCTAGGTATCCATCTAATATATCTAGATTATCAATCATCAGAGAACATCATGTCTAAATTGATATAAAGGACGCTTGTTCTAGATGGTCCTGGAAAGAAGCCAGTACCCACTGGCAGCGAGATAGGTGTACTTATGTATAACATAGTGGAAAAAAAAAAAAAAGCTCAAAACAGCAGTAAAAAGTGGATAATGGTTGCTGCCCTTTCTTCTCTCCAAGATCAGCCCAGACACATACCAGGAACTTCATCACCAGAAAGCCATTCACTCTCACATACATACACTAAAGGAGAGACGGTGCAGAAATGGTCACATGAGTGGGAGACTAACAGTGAAGGAGAGGCCGAAAGCGATGGCCTGACAGCTCAGTGACAACAGCTAGTCTCTGTGCTGAATGAGAACATTCAACAACTAGAGGGAAAGTAACAATATAAACTGAAAGGTGATAAAACATATGCTGTCGCTTCTCGTTTATTTTAAAGAAAAAACACTTGGGCTTACGAGTAGTTTTTGAGCAAGAATATGGGGACTTATCATTTTCATGCTTTATTTTTTTCATCAGAGGATATGGTTCAAGGCAGGTTTCGAAAAAGTTCTTTAAAAAAGAGATATGGCTTGGGGTGCCTGGGTGGCTCAGTCGTTAAGCGTCTGCCCTCAGCTGAGGTTATGGTCCCAGGATCCTGGGATCGAGCCCCACATGGGGCTCCCTGCTCCGCGGGGAGTCTGCTTCTCCCTCTCCCACTCCCCCTGCTGTGTTCCCTCTCTCTCTGTGTCTCTCTCTGTCAAATAAATAAATAAAATCTTTAAAAATAAATAAATAAAATCTTTAAAAAAAAAAGAGCGATGGCTTGATGAAGTAAAAAGTTTAAGAAGGTTCTTTATGCCAAACATATTAAGAAGGATGGAGAGAAAACCAAGGCAGCTTGAAAATGTATCACAATATAAGGAAAAGGATAAATTTAAAGTACTCAAAAAAAAAAAAAAAGAATTGTTTTAAATTTTGAAATAATTAGAAGATACTAAATAATCTCTGCCTTTAAATTCTAATCTTTCTAAAATTCATGGCAGGAGAAACACTAAGTTTGAATTAAAGAAATTGTGTATATATGTTCATCTATACCCATAGCACATATTCCTGGCTTTGCAAAGAGTACCTATACATATAGATATCCCAAAATGTAAAAAGGGGGTTTAAAAAATATTTTCTTCTTTATACTCTTCTATCCTATCCAAATGTTTTACAAATGAGCATCAAGATGAAATATCTATAATCAGACAATAAACTTATTTTCAAGTAAGTTGATTACATTTTGAAATTTGTCATTATTATATGGTTTTTTGTCATTTTATTTTAAAGCAGAATTTTCAAAATATATTATTACTCACACTAAGTACTTCACTTTAAATATGTTCAATAAATTAAAATTGAATCAATATTTGTAACTCTTTGTCACTAAAAAATAGTTGACACTTTTAAAAAAGTGCAGTAGTCCAAAAGAATCTCTACATTACTTAGTACTTTCTCTGTTTTTATCATAGGTAGTTTAGAGTAACATAATAGAGAATTAATATTCTATTGGGCAAGAATGCATCAATCTCTCTAATATAGAAATACTATTTTATTACAAATACAGGAATATGTATCCATCTGGCACATTTGTGAATATCCCAAAAAAAAAGGCAAAGATCAGGCTTTTGAAATAATGCTGACAGCATGAAACAGTAAAAATAAAAAAAAAAACCACTACTATACCAAAGTACAACTCTGGGAGAAATTCATGATCTTTATAAAAGGGCTTTCCAAAATGTACTATTTCTACCAGTACGGAGAAGAAGGTAGATATAACATGACTTTTTATTTTTAATACTGAGATTCATCATGAAAATTAATCATCATGAATTCATGATCTGAACTAAGCTGAAAGTGAACTCATCATGAAAATGAATTAAGCTCCCACGCTACACAGACATAGAGAGAGCCCCAGGAGCCCCCAGGGTGGTTCATCCTTACCAAAAAGCAACAGGACCCACAAAGATAGCTACTAGCCACGTGTGATTATTTATTTACATTTAAATCAACTCAAATTAAAGGAAATTAAGAGTTCACTTCCTCAGCCACACTGGTCACATTTCAAGTGCTCAACAGTTACATGTGGCAAGTGGCCATACTAAACAGTGCAGAAAACAGAAACAGAAGATTTCTACCACTGCAGAAAGTTCTGTTGGACAGTGACTGAAAGTTCTACTGGACAACGCTGGTTAGAGCGTTTTTGTTTTCTCCTGACTTTTCTGCTTTCTCCCTGTCACTATGCTTTTTCAGCCAATCACTCTGCCGCCATCAGTTCTCATCTCTTTCAAGTTTTGCTCTTCTAAGCAGAGAATCACACCTATAGAAATACGTTTCAATAAATAAGAACTGAGGTGGAGCCTCTGAAGTTCTCCCACATATAAAATACATTAGTTTTAGATTGTGTACTTTGAGGCCCACATTTTAGCCACAGAGAGGCCCTATTTGTTCCTTGTGACCCTTGCTTGTTTCCAGCAATTTAGTCTGTCTGGCTACTGACCTGCAGACACACATAACAATGCCACTGGATATTATCACGGTGTGCAAACAATACCAGTAATTAATTAGAAACATATAAAACATAAGATACAGGAGAAAGTCTAATCAGATAAACTGCTTTTTTCAGAACAAAAGCCCATATAATAATCTGATTATGCACTGGAGACATAGCTCTGATTGCATTAAAATTTCACAATTACACATCCCAATAGTGCATACATGTTGTATATTATGCAAAACTCTATGCTATGCTATGTGCTATGATCACATAAAAAAGGTGAATAATTAATGTAGCTTTCTAAACGTAAATTTTGTACCTTAGATGGGATTCCAATATCCTATCCATTCGTTTGTAGAAGGGTCTGGATGTAAAGTAGCCGCTCCAATAATGATCGTCTCGGTCAGCATAAGTGAAAAAATCTCCACTTAGAACAGGGAACATGGATTGGCTATTCTTTCTAATGGTTACATCTTCTTTATCCAGTGCATCAAAATAATCTGATAAAGTCCCAAACTGTATCTAATAAAAAAAAAGTGACACTTATTCATCTCTACCTTAAAATTACTTCTAGCACTAAAAGGAAAAGTTAACAGTAAATATTTAAGATGCGCTTTCCAGTTAAGATGAAATTCTAGCTCAGATTTTACAAAACTCAAAAGCAGGGGGAAAAATATACAGTAGCTCTTTCACTTGCATCAGGTCCCAAATTAAACTAAAATAAAACTTACACCCCTAAGGGGTTAGAAGAACTACTGAGATATACAAATCTGTGGATCTGAAAACACCTTACCAATCTCCAGAATTTCAAAGTGTGCAAGGATCAGGGAATAGAATAATTCAGAGATGAATAAAAGATGGGAGGAAGCAGCAAAAATAAAACATTTACATACAGTTTGGTTAACCATTAAGTATTTTCATATGTCATATGCACATACACTCCCCTGGCCTCCCCATCCCCCTTGCTTGAGCTCTCATAAGGGAGACTTTAAGAACAGCAGGTCATTAAAAAAATGGACTTTCTCTACCAGCAGGTAACATTGAATAGAAGTAAAACACAAAGAGTGACAAGAACTGCAAGGTTGACTGCTCAAATGAAAAGGTCTTTTGACTAATGATTTAAATTACCAGAACATAAATCCATTTTTATGAGCCCAAGCTATTCCATAAATCAAAGGAAAAAAGAAGTATTATACCACACCATGTAAACAGATATTAAAAGGCAGTGTTTTTAGAGATAAACAGAGAATTTAACAGGGAATGTATTTCTTTGAATATTAAGATGCTATTTTTGTTGTTTCCTACCACACACAGATACACACACACACACACACACACACACAGATACTAAAAGCTACTTTGATTCAATGTGGCAGAAAAATAATTAAGAGCAGTTAAAAACAGGGGTGCCTGGGGTGGCTCAGTCATTAAGCATCTGCCTTTGGCTCAGGTCAGGATCCCAGGGTCCTGGGATCGAGCCCCATATCAGGCTCCCTGCTCTGCAGGAAGCCTGCTTCTCCCTCTCCCACTCCCCCTTCTTGTGTTCTCTCTCTAGCTGTGTCTCTGTCTAATAAATAAAATCTTAAGAAAAAAAAAAAGTAGTTAAAAACAGTGAGTAGCACTCTAGAAGAGTGGTTAAGAACAGCACAGAACCTGGATCCAGATAGCATTGGTTTGAATTCCATCTCTACCATTTACCTAACAATGTGGTTTTGAGCATATTTATATATTGTCTCTGTGTCTGTGTTACAGCTAAGAGGGTTCTAAGTAAAATGCTTAGAAACACAACTGGGAAATAATGGTCTAAGTTTTAGCTGTCATTTTTCTATTGCAAAGGCAAAATTTCAGCTGGAAACATGATGATATTAGTAAGACAAATAGAAGTTATCATGTACCTGTGACACAATAAATTTTATAACAGCAAAATAGATAATTATTTCTAAATCCTTATGTTTACATCACAGAAAAGCAATTTTCAACAATATTACCTAGTCTTATCTTGGCTTCACCAAATACAATGTATCTTGGGCAAGTTAATATATTTGTGCCTCAGTTTCCTCATCTCTAATGGGGATAATTATAGTACCTACCAGAAAATGTTCAGAGAATTAAATAAGTTAACTAAAGTGAAGCACTTTAAAAAGTTAATAGCAGGGGTGCCTGGATGGCCCAGTTGGTTAAGCACCTGACTCTTGGTTCCAGCTCAGGTCATGATCTCGGGGTCATAAGATCGAGCCCCACATTGGGCTCTGTGCTGGGCATGGAGCCTGCTTAAGATTCTCTCTCTCCCTTTGCCCATCCCCACGCCCCCGCACCCCCAAAGTGCATGCTCTCTCTCTCAAAGAAAACGTTAATAGCAAATAGTAAGTACTCAAAAATTAAGTGTTATTTATTACTCACTTAACACATTCTAAGAAGCAGAATATAAGTGTGTGTGTGTATAACCATGAGGGTCACAAATGCAAAGAAATACAGCATTAACTTCAGGCCCAATAGTACAGACAAGCTCAGGGAAGTATACTGATAAAAGTAAAAAATATTCAACAATCTAAATTTCTGACTCACTTTCTCATCTATATAAAAAGGGATTTCTATGAGATAACAAAAATTCCCTTCAGTTTCAGATTTTAGGGAACTGTGGCATGCTACAGAGTTCATATTAACAACAAAGTATACCCTTTTAGAATATTGTAACTAATTTTTGGTATTAGCCAAGATGAAAGTATTTCCTTCTTGGCAATTGCCCCAGGCAAAGTTCATTTAAGTAGCCTGGTGAGCATTCTCACAAATTTAATTCAATCTCAAAGGACTGATATATAATCCTGTATCTATCCTAGAGTAGTTTCAAAAGAAATTATTTAAGAGTGAATTTTTCTATAGTCTCTTGGTAGCTCAAAGTACGTATTCCAAATAACCAAAAAAAAAAAGTAGATTTTTTTACTTCAAAAGGCAACAAATTATATCTTTAACATAACCTTAATCTTAAACATAATCAAACTCCTCTATCAGAGCAACATATGAGAAAAATACATAAATTGTTAAATAAGTGATGACCAATGGGAAACTGACTGGCTTGGTTGGTACAATGTCAATTTTTTAGCCATCTAAATTCAATTGCTTACTTGGGTTTTTCCTTTCATTAAAAGAAAATAATAAACTGAAGCTTCTGGCTTGGACAAAATAACTTCAAACATCCTACAGAGAACAGATACTAGATAAACCACAGAGAGAAAAAAAGCTTTTGTTTGAAGGTATCTAAGGACAATCAAAGCAGCCAACACTTGAGTGACAAAAATTCCAGAAAGAAAGGAAATGCATGAAGGTTACTGGGTACAAGGTTAGAATGCAAAAGTCAACTGTATTTTTATACATGGAATATACCACATTCATGGATGGCCTAATATTTGTAAAGAAGTTAACGGTACTCAAATTGATCTATAGGTTCAATGCAATGCCAATCAAAATTCCAACTTTTTTTGGTAGAAATTTAAAAATTGATCTTAAACCTATACAGAACTATAAAGAAAACCAATGCAATCTTGAGAAAGAAAACAAAATTAGAAGACTTATGCTATCAGAAATTAAGATCCATTCTAAAACTATAGTAATTAAAACAGTCCGAGACTAAATAGACAAAATTGAATAGAGTCTATACAAGAGCCACACAAATAGTTTCACTCAAAATTAATGAAAAAGATGATGCTGCAGTAAAGTGGGCACACTGGTCTTTTCAATAAATGGTGGTAGATACCCATATGGGCAAAAATGCACCTTGATCCCTGTCTTCATACAATTCACAAAAAAATCAATTCCAAACAGATTACAGACCTAAATATTGAAGGTAAAACAATAAAGCTTCTGGAGGACAGCTTCATAGGAAGCATATTTTCATAATTATGGGGTATAAACAAAAATTTCTTAAGCAGAACATGACATGGAAAGGAAAATACTGTTATATTAGATTTAATTAAAACAAAGAATTTCTGTTTATCAAAAGAGGGCATTAAGAAAGAAATTAAAAAACAGGCTCACATAGTGGGAGGCAATATTTGCATAACTTTTATCTGAAGGAAGTCTCAAACCAAAATATATAAAAGAGTTATAAATGGTACAAAATAAACAGACAACCCAATTTAAGGAAAAGTCATCAAAAGATTTAAATAGTCACTTCATAAAAGAGGATACCTAAATGGCAATAAACTTATGAAAAGAGGTTCAATTCATTAACTACCAGGGAAATATAAAATAAAACCATCATATCGATCATAAAAAAATAAAAATGAAAAAAAAATCCTAACAAAAAATCTGAGTAAGGAAGTACAGCAACTGAAATTGTCATACAATGCAACGACTAGTGCATCTATTTTGGGATACCATTTGGCAATATCTACTGAAGTTGAACATGTGCATACCCAGTGACCAAAAATTTCTATCCCATTTTATACCCACATAAATTCACATACATGTATATAAAAACATGCACAAAATATTCAAAATGGCTTTATTTGTAATACACAAAAACTGGAAACAACCCAAATGTCCATCAATAATACAATGGACAAATCGTGATGTATTTATCAAATGGATATTAAAGATAATATACAGTATTAAAATTGAATATACTGTGGGGCGCCTGGATGGCTCAGTTGGTTAAGAAATCCAACTCTTGATTTTGGTTCAGGTCATGATCTCAGGGTCATGAGAATGAGCTTCACATTGGGCTCCGCACTCAGTACAGAGTCTGCTTGAGAGTCTCTCTCTCCCCTCCCCCTGCCCCCCCCCCCCGCTCATTCAAATCATTGCCAAATCTTACAAAAGTAACCTTATTTTCCCTTCTATCATCATGGTTAGTGTTTTTTCTTTTAAAATGATACAAGAAGGAAATCTTAAGTATGTGACCCTGAGACCATGACCTGAACCAAAATCAAGAGTTGGATGCTTTTTAAAGTGACTTTACAAATTGCCCTACTGGGCAAAGAAGGAAATAGGTAAAATACAAAAATCAGTAGTTTAATTCTTTAGAATGAGTGGTAGATCCTTTTATGGATCTCAAAACCATTCACTAGGAAGATGTACATAGGGATAAAATACCCATCTGCATATGCCATCCCCTAAGTAAATGTTTGTGTATCAGCTTCATCTTTGAGGAGATTATAGAGATGATTTAAACATAGACCTAAAGTTCATAATTTGGTAGAAATTCAGTTGTAAGTATCTTGAATACACCTGGCATTTTATTTAAGTTTATTTAACTATTTAATATTATTTACATTTACTTAATAAACTTGAATTCTCCCTACATAAAATGTGACCTATCATCAGCTTTCTAATTTCCTAAACAGTAACATCTCTTCCTTTCTGTAGTATTTCCACAAATATTCTACTGTCTCATAGGTTAGTATGTGAATATAATAAACACATTGGGTAATTTTCTCATATAGGGTCTAATATAGGACTCTTGTTTGAATCCTGACTCATGAAACATATGCTTAAAAAAAAAAATGCCTGTATGTGATCAGGAAAATCTGAATCTATCTGGATATATGATAATATTGAATTATTGTTAATTTTTTAGATATAATAGTGGCATTATGATTGTATTTTTAAACAGAGTCCTTATCATTTAGATACATAATGAAATGGTTACAGATGAAACTACATGACTACAATTTCCTCCAAAATAATCCCTGGGAGAGGGTGAGAGAGGACAGTGAGGCACAGCTGAAGTGAGAGTGACCTCGAGTTGATCAATGTGGTAGCTGAGCTATGGATATGGGGAGGCAGGGGTCAGGGGAAGGGTACTTAAGTTGTTCTCAAAACTTTAGGGTACATTCAAAATTTTCCAAAAGGGGAAAAAAAAAAAGAGAAAGAACTACAGGTAAATGATTAATTTTGGAAGTCTTCTCAACTAAGAAAGATGCTAGTGTATTCTCTGGACACAAGACATTAATTTGCAAAATTCATGACACGTTCATCTGCATTGCCCGTCACATTACTAAAATCACAAGGATGCAGCCGTCAGAGAAACAAACTTTTGATGCTGGTAGAAAAACAGGACATCACTGAAAACTGAAGATCCCAACTTAGTAGGTGCATATTTACAACTACATAAAAGTAAAGTCTCTTTAATGCTGTAGGAATGGGGGGAAAGGGACAACTTCAGAAATGCAACTATAGTACTAGATAATTTTCCTCTTTAAGAACTACACTCTTACATACAAACTACATATTCTAGGAAATATTGGGATGTGGGACAAAGAAACTAAGGCTGTTGTGTTTTAGCCTCATTTAATAATGAAGGCTCAACTTCAAATACAGTATCATAATTAAATATTTTCAAATTACCTTAACATTATACTCAGGATGAGAATTCATATAATCAAAAAGCAGCTGATAATTCTTATACTGATGATCCCATTCTATGCGTTCACAGTAGCGAAAATCATCTCCTAGTGGGGCCAGGACAACTGTAGTACGGAAGAGCTTTGACTTCTTTCGGTACTGATCTAGAAGCATCTCAGCCCTACAAAAGAAAAAGGAAAATAAGAACAGTACTAAGAAAAGGACAATGGGGCAACTCATTAAAAAGTGTATTATGTTAAAAGAAATTGTTGTATATTTTACCTGTATTCTAGGTTAGTATGATTTATAAGGCAGATTTTTTAAAACTACTATACTAATTTTCATTATCCACTTAAAATATTCATAAATTTTGGGGTGCCTGGGTGGCGCAGTTGGTTGAGCATCCAGGCTTTTGGTTTTGGCTCAGTCATGGTCTCTAAGTCATGAAATCAAGCCCCGCATTAGGTCCTGTGCTCAGCGCAGAGTCTGCTTGGGATTCTTTCTCGCTCTCCTTCTGCCCCTCCCCTCTGCTCGTTCTCTCTAAAATGGATAAATAAATCTTTTAAAAAATATATTCATAAATTCTTACCAGAGAGAAAAACCCACAGGTTTCCAATGGACTATCCTTAGAGAAATAAAGTCACATACCAACTTTGACATAAAATTACTGGGAACATCAATGGCCTCCTGAAGCCCGGCCATAGACACTGGATCCCAGATTGCCTGTATTTTAAAATAATTTAGTCCAAGAAGACAATAAGGATTTCTTATCTATATAAACTTTGAAGTTGGCTTTGACTCAAGATGCCTTTCTCTAATTTGATCTAAACTTGCCTGATTACACATAAAAAAATTAATAGTTTGAATGAAACCAATTATAGAACCTGATTTCCTCTTCAAACGGAAGAAAAACAACTCACTTAACACCTGCCATCAATAAACTGGATATCTGTCAGTGTCCTTCTCAGGGCTGATCAACAGATAAAGTTTTGGAGATCAAATAGCTTTTTTGATTTCTACCTTCCTCAGATCTAACCCATGAGTCCAAAGGTCAGCTAAATACTAAATGTGCTGATGTGTTTCTATATTTCATATTATTCTAGTATTCTGCAGAAAACCTTTGGGGTTGAACTGCTGAATGCTGAACCGGGGTACCATTTGAGGAAGTCTAGGAATACAAAGTATTTAAGAGGAATGGCTTATAAAAATGAAATTAAATAAGCGGATGAAGAACTCAGAGTAGTTCTCTATGTTTGTAATGCCAAGCTTAAGAAATCAGTGATAAATGACTAATGTGCTTTTTACCCAGTATTCCAATTTTCATTTCTAGGGTTATCAAGAAGTTCCAATTCACAATATAAAAACTTACGAAAGAAACTCAAAGACCATCAATAATGGAATGAAGTATTTTATAGAATTAAAAACATTTAACTAAATTTAGAAATTCACATGATCTTTTTATACTGATAGTCTCTGAAACTGCTTTGCAAATATTAAATTATTAGCAAAATTCAATAACTTGGTGAGTAAAATATAACCATAATGTTCTTACATAACATAGTTTTCTGAGATTAGCGTTCAGTAGAGTACTTAATTTTTACTAATAATTTACTAATATTCCACACTTAACCAAAAATAACCTTGGATTATTAGTTATAATTAAAAAAATACATGTCTAATGAGATTAATCAAATAGAAAGAAAAATAAGAGAAAAAAACCAAACATATAAATCAGATATGAGAAAGATACACTATGACTGAGCATCCAATCAGATTCCCCTAGGCAACCAGCATAGAAAAGGATAAGTGATCATTTAAATGAATGCCAAGGTTTACTACTAGATATACCATATCTTGTGTGTATATGCATATGACACATAAGAGGAAAGAATCACAAACATTAAGTGTGAGTCTTCCATTCAGCATCTGTCCTAACTCCCAAGCTCCTGCTCAGAAGGTGTCAACACGGAATTCAGGAGACCAATCTACACTACCTGGTCGAGAGTGGATATTCACTAAATACATTGTACACTAATGCCAAATGAAATGACCGATATCACACTTGAAGATGTGCAGCAGCAATCTGCTCTTCACTCCTACCAGGCTAGAAATGTCAACTTAACTAGAACCAAGAAAAAAAATTTCCTAGAACATCCTGTATCATTTGACACATAAATCACCATCATATGTAAAATACGTTGTATGAGAACAAAAACTCAACGTGATAAAGAATGGTACCTCTTTATTTGCGAAGTAGAGGAACCTGCTGAACTAAACAGTACCGATTTTATCACCTGTAAATTGTAGTTAAATTTCATTTTCTTTAGGGTATTAAAAATCACGTGCCACTAAGCTGGAATGCCCGTGTTTGCTCTCCATTAATCACAAAGTAAAAAGGACGGTGATATCTGGATGTGAAGTAACCAGTAAAGATTTCAAGAATTATAAGAAGTTTTTTAAAAAATCTACAGAAGTATTAAATAGACTCTTTCATCTCTATGCCCCCAGGTGCCTGGAAATCACTTGCAGATTCACTGGAACTGACTGAGCACAAGGTATGTTCCTGGGGGGCAATCTTTGTAGTGTCAGATGGGACACAGCAAAAGGATTACACAAAATAGCTTTCCCCCTCCAATAATGCACTTTAAACAGGTACTCTCAGCAACACCCAAGAAAAGAAAAAGTGGAGCCTCACAAGGTCTTTGGTGCACTGGGAGTCCCCAATTAAAGCATCTGGTTACCTTCAAAGAAATTCCCTATCTCTGACCCCCTGAGCTACAGAAGAGCGTATGCTGCCTAGCTCTATACCTTTTGCCACATAATACACTGGATTATTCTCCTCCACCTAACTAACCTAAGCCCAGAAAGCACGCTATTCACTCTTCCTCACTGATCTTCACTGCTGTAGGAACCAATAAAATGAAACCAGGTTGATCCCTAATCTTGGGACAGTTTTTCAAAATAACCATAAAAATCAGATTTTGCTGGAAGCGATCTATGTTAAAGGCTGCCATGTTAAAATACTTTTGTGTGTGCCAGAGTGAGGGACCCTCAATGAAATATTTTATGGCCACAAGGACTGACTCAAGGCAGAGACTCAATCTCACCTTCTCCTTCCAGTTTTTAAAGAAGCAATTTTTAAAATAAATAGACTTGATAGTGCACAGTGCAAAGATCTTACTTTATTTAAAAGGCTTTATCATTGTGCTTCGAAACCACCTGGGGGCATGGTTATGTTGGCACCCTATTCTCATTTTGTTGGGCTGGAGATTTTTTGAAAGCTCCCTGGGTAATTTGGGCAGCCATGCTTGGTAACTACCGACCTGCCTCATCCTTGCCCATTTAACCCTCCTGTGGAACGCAGGATGCCTGGCTTCTTCTTAGCAATTCACACGAGCGTGGAGTTCCCAAAAACCATCAAACTTACAAATGGCAAAAAAAAATTGCACATAATTATTGTTATACAATTAGTGTACACAATATGATGAGTTTAAAAATATTCCTACACTCGTGTTGCCATCATGTTATTGAAAAATTTTTAAGGATAACATGTACAAGAACCTAGGCAGAGTAGGTTTTCAGAAACCAGAAATTCCAGGGTCTTAAAAACAGTTAATGAATGTTGTGGTTTGCAGAATTTATGGCTGTCATCCTACTTTAACTGTTTATAGCTACCCCCCTCACTCTCAAAAATCTCCTCATGTGTTTAATAAATAACATGATCGATCTAAGAAAATAAAATAAAAGTCTGTATCATTTTTCTGCCAGAGGTGAGTGGTTTATATTGCAACACAATGTTTTATTTAAAGGCATTATACACCAGTAATTTTTAAGTGAAGAAATTAAACTTTAAAAGCAAACAAATGACAAGTATAGGTAATGAGATGCTTCCGTCATGAGCATAATTTTCTTCCTAAAAAAAATGATTCATCCCTTTTTTATTTAAGTAATTATCTTTAAGTATAAATATTCCTAATTAAAAATTGTCTGTAAGTCAAAAATATCAGAATGATCGAAAGAGTGTATTCATCAGAGCTGGGCAGCATCCACTATTATTGAAATTGTATTAAAAGAACAGATAATTATACTCTTTATGTGTTCCATTTCAATAAACCTGTTTTTGCAGTTGGGTTGCTTTTCTTACCAATGTATACAATAGAGACCAGAAGTTTTATTATCAACTAAAGTATGTGAGATCAATCAAAAGCAGCAGAAGGCTTTTATAATGAGGGCAAAGGAGAGGGTAATAGCAGACTGTTATAGGTTCTCCATTGTATATTGATCAACTGTTGGTCATTTTCCATTAAGTTATAACACATAAAAGGCACAGTCAAAGCTCTGCATTTTTAAGTTGCTTTAGATCTGGTTGAATAAGTACCTTGAGCATGGATAATGTTGGCTACTGAACCCTTTAGCAAAGAGCAGCAGAGTTGTTGCTTTGCTCAAGATGCTGTCTTAATGAAATGCATATTTTCATACCTCTTTTGGACATTTCCAAGATGTATCGTTTCTGGGGGGACTCCCCAGGGACAACCAAATCTGCCTCCGGGAAGCCGTTTAAAATCAAACTGGCAGCATATTTTAGGATCAGGTCCACACGTACGAGGGATGTCATAGCTGTAGAAAGGCATCATGTGGCAAAAAATATCTGTGCCAGATCCCAGATCTAAAATAAAGAGCCAACAGACAAACCTGGATTTATAAATTGTGTTTTCCCAAAACTGTTCAAAATGCCAGTACTTTCTACATATATAATGCAAGCTCCACCCTAAATCTACAACCTACTTAACTACTACTCATACATAAACTCCAGTGGCATTTAAAGACCACCAGCCTGAAGGAAGAGACTCACATCTCAGTCTCTCTCTACCTCCTCTATCTAAACTGAGCAGAGACCCATCACGGACCAGCGTGTGCTGGCCTGGAAAGATACAAACGAACAGAAGCAAAAGTTATCCCTGGCTCATCCAAAAATATGGGCTGTGTCCATCCCTGGCTGCCAGCTCCTTGCCACATCTGTCCACACATCAGTAACGGGACACACTGGGGAAGACCATGACACTAGCCGCAGAGGAAAGGAGAGAAGGAGAGAGGAAGAGAATAAAAGGAGGAAAGGAAGAAGTCGGGAGGCTTGTGAGAATGCTGGGCAAATTCCTATCTATTTCTCGCTGTGAGGAGAAGAAAGGGCAACCGGAAGAGTTCACAGAGTCTCCCCGTTGTTCACCAATGAAGAGCCACCAGGACTTTTCACCAAGAAAGCAGCACAGGACAAGGGGAAGTACTTCTTAAAACCAAAACAAACAAACAAACAAACAAACAAACAAACAAACCCAAGAATAAAAACGAAGCAAACAAAAAATATACTGAAAGGGAGCACTGGTTCCTGATGCAGAACTGTCTTTAATTAAATCCCCAATGCCAGCAAGTGTTGTTATCACTGCCCTTGAGAGGTCAGAAGCCTACCACCCAGTGATGGAGGACTTGAGCAAGGGTTAAAAATGGTTACCTTTTAGGCTCCTGACCTGTAAATACCTCTCCCTCTTTATTTATAAAGTGTGGATTTCTACTTTTCAGCAATGGGTTATGTGCTGCTTTTATGACAAAGACAGACACAACAGCGAAAACAAAAAAGCAACACGCACGTTTTAAAAAATGAAAATACCTCCTTCATTAAGAACCAGAACACACAAAGAAGCTCAAATGAGTTCCAAAGCATAATTTTGAAGCAACATGTTCAAATCTATCTGGTAAGTGCTAACATATTCCAGTTCTATCTCGTGCTCCATTTAGTTAATTACCAGCTCTTTTCCAAAATTTAAAGCTTTTATAATTTGTATATTTTTGTGCTGTCAGTTGCTTCACTGAATCACACTCGAGTGTGACATCACGGATCTGGTCACTAATGCTTGCTAACCGCACAGAGGCCCTCGGTGACAACTCCTCTTCCCTCCTCCAGTAGATCAAAGACACTCAACAGCCCCACCCCTTCGCCTCAGCCATACTATTTAGCAGCTCATTTACACGTTTCAGTTTATCTGCTGCTGTTGGTCTTGTCTTTCATCAAATTAAGACTATAATTTCCTGATAGGCAAGGAAGTTTTCTGTATTTCTTCCAAGCATGGTATTAAGTACATAAAAGTACTCAGTACTTTCTTGCTGATTGGTATTTATGGGCAATTTGAATGTAGGCAATACTGTTAAGTAGGGCCTCTTCAAATTAACAATCCCTTTTTTTTAATTAATATGCTCTTTGCATTTGATCAAACTATACAGGATATAACCCCCTACAAGTTCTCGTTTTCCCTACAGGTTTTAATTTCCAGAATAAAAAATTATATAGTTAATTTCTTTCCTTATTGAAAAAACAGCAGTACGTATCAGGAAGTTACTGTCTAGATTTACAAACGATTTTTTGAAAACACTTAAGGGGGGATCTAACTTACACAGGAAAACAAGTATGATGCAATGCAGTAATTTCTGAACATTGTTTTAGCAACGGAACCCTTTTTGTGGATGAAATCTTACTGAAAGCCCAGTACCGGGAAAGCAGTGAATGGCAGGGGCTTAAAAGCCTGGGCTTCTGAACTACACAAAGCTGGATTCAGATCTCGCCTCTGTACCTACTACCTGTACGACTTTGGCAAAAGGCTTCACAGCTCTAAGCATCCATTTCTTCACCATTTAAGAGGGATAATGAGAGAAGAGAAGATAAAGGATAAAGATCTAGTGAGAGAGCAGATATAAAGCATACAGTACAATGCATGGCCCAGAATAAAGAACTCAATAAAGAAAAAGAAATAATAAGGTATTCTGAATTAAATGGGGGTTGGGAAAGGCAAAAACCTCTCAAGAAGCCTAAATCTTGTCTCCTTCCCACCCCTCAGCAAAGAGCTGTAGAAGTATGACCTTGGGAACACCTGTGCACCCACAGAATACAGCATGAAAACAAGCAGGACAGGTAATAGGAGGGCTGTTCAGGAGGACAGGATTAATGGTTTAAAAGGCAATTCTTACTAGATGCAGAGACAGGAAAGACAGAAGGAGGAAACACAGGCTGAATGTGAAATAAAGGACTGGATATAAGTTCTCACACATGTTCAACTTTGTGATAAAACAAGTCCTTTTCAAAACAGAAGCATGTAAAAGCATTATTTGCAAAAGACTAATTCCTTACATTTATTTACTTCCTTTAGGCATAAAAAAGAATCCACAGTGTTCTATAGATAAATATCCTCACCACTGCTTAAGAGAATCTTAACACCAATACACTGGGAAAAAAATCGTAAGAACGTATATCTTGAAGCAACCTAATTTTCAAGACTGACACTCTGAATAAAGCCCGTAACAGGAGGAGTTCATAACCCTTATGAAATAACATCTAGGTCAAGTGAGATCTTCCACTTTCATCACACCCTACGTACCCCAATTCTGTCTCCAAAAAAATTCCAGCGTTTTATGCAATGCAAAATGTTTTTTAACTGCATAATGAACTCTCTGAATAAGCATGTGAGAAAATCTAGCGCGTTTGAGGAGATAAGCCATTGTTGGTGAATGTCCAAAAGGATCAATAGACCAACCGGACCGAGGTTTCACTCCTGTCGATAAAGAAAACAAGTGTTATTTTTTTAACTGATAATGAAATGAAAAGAAGTCACAATCCATTCAGAGCCATCAGAGTTCTATGGTATTCTGGGTCTGAGGACAAAGCATCTGCCCAGCATTCCCCTTGAGCATACGTTCCCAGCAGGGCTCCCAGACGGGAGGATGCTGCCACTGCCATGTCTTCTTCCCAGGCAGAGGAATCGCACTAGAGGTTACTCAACTGGCACTGAAATCAGCACGCTGCCATCTCATAGACACTAGAAAGCTCCTGCCATTTAGTGGAGCTAGAGAAACAAACAGGACCTAGCCCCCATCCTTCTAAGACCTCACAGTCTTGTTTTCCTTTGAGGTGGATAACCCAGCAACTTGCTATGTAATAAGGAAAAGTAAGCTAACTTATTTCAACCTGGACTCCTCAATCCCAATGTGAAGGAATTTTCAGGCTGTCTTTCATACCTCACAATAGCTTCAAATCGTCTTTTTATACAGTAGCAGAAGTGACCAAAATAACTGCACCATATTTCGTTAAATCTTAGTGAAATATAATAAAATTGTAATATAATATAATGCTGGTACTTTCTCTCTACCGAGAAAGGATTAATGGAATTTTCCACAACTGACTAACAGCAACTGTTAAGAGCCATTGACTAAAGATATAGCTCAATTTCACATAGGGTACAATGTAAAAAATAAACATAATAAATGTAAAGACTGGAATTAATGAAAGAAGACTAGTCATCTGGCATTATACAAATCTGATCTTTTATTTATTCAGGATACTCAAAAGCAAACTTGTACATGCAACCTATAGAAATCTATAGACGTAGTATTACTATGTGCATTTTTTTCAAACACCTGGTTAGCACTTCCATATACCTAGACTATGAGAGGTTCTAGGATTACAAAAATGAGTTTATCTTGATCCTGACTGCACAGAATATCATGCAAATAGGTGTAACACAGAGTATCAGAATATGGAGGGGAGGGAAGAACTCTGTGGAACAATCTTGAAGATGAACACAGAGCTGGGAAGCCAGCAAAGGAGACTGAGGAGAAAAAGTCAGAACTCTCAGAGGACCAAGAATATGTGTCAAAACTCAAAGAACTGACCACATATTTTTGCTTTTCACATATGTAATTCACCTCTAAAAACTGTAAAGAAACCTTTTTTAAAAATATTTTATTTATTTGAGAGAAAGAGAGAGGGAGAGATCACGAGCAGGGGGGAGGGGTAAAGGGTGAAGCAAGACTCCCTGCTGAGCAGGGAGCCTGATGCAGAACTTGAACACAGGACCCTGGGCCAAAGGCAGATGCTTAACTGACTGAGCCACCCAATTTAGCTCATATTTCTGTGCTGTCAGTTGTTTCACTGAATCACACTCAATTTAGTATTTTTGGTTTTTTGTGGTGGTATGGTTTAACAATTCTGGAACTACTTTTCATGTATTCTAAGGTTGAGCAAATTAAGACCAGGGAGCCAGGGTTCACACTGTTAAGGAACTACCAAATATGTAAATGTGGGAGAGCAGAATGTACTTTAGAACCCTGACTTGAAATAGGAGGTATCAGCACTAACTTACAGTTTTGTAACACACACCCACACCCACAGCCATTTTCTAGCTCTGCCCCAGGAGGGCCTAGATACAGTAACACCTCAGGACCAATGAGCACACCTTAGCTTCTAGATGATGACTTCTAAACACTATGCTCTATTAAAAATAACCTTAAAGAAATGGCTCATCCCAGGACGGTGGCTGGGAAAATACAAAATAAGCCTGGAACATATACTTACAGCATAAAGTAAAGAAATGGTCAAAGAATCATCGGAACATATTAAAATAACTCAGGAGATAGCCTGTAGGGGCTTCCACTATCCAAATGTGTGACAATTGGGGCATCAAAATAAACAATGATAGTACTGGGTTATAACCCATTGAATAAAATAAGAAGCCACGAGATCCATGAGCCCTAAATAAAAAGAAAATAAAAAAAGAAATAGGAAATAAAGGAAAACAAAAAGGAAAGGTATATTCCTTTCAGTAGAATGCCAACTAATAATTATAGAAGGAATGACAGAATTAGAAAACCATCAATGGATCCTAAAAGTACAACAGGCAAGTTTGATGAGGAACAGGATATTTAGCTAATCTCAATGTGTCACCCACAAATAAGTTATTAATTAAAGAAGAAAGATGTAACAGTACAGCAAAGAAACTTAAGAGACCCAAATTAAGCAACTATCCAAGGCTAGCAGCACCAGTATTAGAACAGGGAGACATCATGTGCCTCCTGACAGGATGCACTGAGGCCAACAGAACATCACTGCAGTGATATTCGAGCAAAAGAAGTAGATTGGTTTAGGGGCACCTGGGTGGCTCAGTCGGTTAAGCGACTGCCTTCAGCTCAGGTCATGATCCCAGGATCCTGGGATCGAGTCCCACATCAGGCTCCCTGCTCAGCGGGGAGCCTGCTTCTCCCTCTCCCTGCCACTCCCCCTGCTTGTGCTCTCTATCTCTCTGACAAATAAATAAAATCTTTAAAAAGAAAAAAAAAGTAGATTGGTTTAGGTTAGGAAGGAGGGAAGAAGGGAGGGAAAGAAGGAAAGCGGGAAGGAGGGAAAGAAGGAGGGAGGGAAGGAAGGAAAAACAACCGGAAGCTAATCGTGAGGAAATGGACATACTCAAATAAAAGGACTTCCTACAACAAAGTCCTTCACTCCTCAAAAATATCAAGGTCAAGAAATTTTTAAAAAAGGCTGAGGAGCTAGCTGTTCCAGATTAAAGGAGACTGAAGAGATGTGATAACTAAATGCAACACATGAGCATGGTTGGATCCTGGACTTAAAGGGAAAAAAAAAAAGCACCTTTTATTAAAAAAAAAAAAATGCTATTGAGAATTTGAATATAGCCTATGAATTTGATTACAGTATTATATCACTGCTAACATTCTGGATTTGATAACTTTCTTCTGGTTATATAAGAAAATGTCCTTTTTTTTTAATTTAAATTTTTTTAATTTTGTTATGTGAATCGCCATACATTATATCATCAGTTTTTGATGTAGTGTTCCATGATTCATTGTTTGCATATAACACCCAGTGCTCCATTCAATACGTTCCCTCTTTAATACCCATCACCAGGCTAACCCATCCCCCCACCCCCTCCCCTCTAGAACCCTCAGTTTGTTTCTCAGAGTCCATAGTCTCTCCTGGTTCGTCTCCCCCTCCATTTCCCCCCCTTCATTTTTCCCTTCCTGCTATCTTCTTTTATTTTGACATATAATGTATTATTTGTTTCAGAGGTACAGGTCTGTGATTCAACAGTCTTACACAATTCACAGCACTCACCATAGCACATACCCTCCCCAAAGTCTATCACCCAGCCACCCCATCCCTCCCACCCCCTACCACTCCAGCAACCCTCAGTTTGTTTCCTGAGATTAAGAAGAAAATGTCCTTATTTTCTTAGAAAACACACAATGAAGTATTGGAAGATAAAGAAAGAAGATGCCTCCAACTTACTGTCAAATAGTTCAGAAAAACATGCGTTATGAATCTAAGTACAGGACATATGAAAGAGCCCTTCCCAGCTGTCATGCAGCTTTTTATAAGTTTGAAATTATATCAAAATTAAGTTATAAAATAATAAAGGATTGCAATGTCCCAAATAACAAGGGCGGAATTAGCTTACAAGTGAGAGTAAAAATCACCATCAAATTCTACAGTGATGTCAGATTTTAGCAACGTTAGGGATGTTTTCCCTATCAAACTCACATGATCCACAGGAGCAGCAACCTCGCTGCAGTGGACTTAAGAGTCCCTGGGAGGTGATGATACAGAAAAGGAAGAATGTAAACCATATTTTTTAAAACTCTGACATGAAAGGAGGTGAGAGCTAGGCAGAGACCTAGAAAGGACCCCAGTATCCCACTAGGGTTTTCCTTGGTATGGTAAGTACTGTTTTAAAAGGGGTAAGGGGCAAATTTAGGTAAAAGCGCAGCATAAAAAAGCGCCAAAGTTTTATAAAGGGTATGTTTGCCAATAATACCAGGAAAGATCATGAAAAAGATTTTGTGCCATCAAGCAAGATTATCAAAATACATAATAAAGTAAAAATTGTTAGGAAAAATGACAAGAAATGGTCATTAAAAAGAATAAAATACACCCCTCAATTTTTGACAAACCTAACAGACTTAAAAATTAGAACAGAAGTAATATGAATAATATAATTAGTCACTGGATTATTCCAAGTACATTTAATATTAAAGCTTAAGAAAAGTCAGGGAACAGTTAGAAAAACAGGTATTTTGGGCAAAAGACAATGTTGGTAACTCAAACTTCAAAAAGTTTATGATATTTTGGGCAAAAGATAATCTTAATAACTCAAACTTCAAAAGGTTTATAATGATCATATTTGCATAACAGAGGTCACAAAAGCAGAAATTAACAAAAAACAGAACAATTTAAAAAGCATTCCATGACCAAATATAAAGTATCCAAAACAACATGCTGTTGTTCTAAATTGCTTAAAAAACAAAACAGAACATGAATTTACAAAATGCAGCCAAAGCTACAAAAAGATATTCCATTTCTCAAATGTGTCCATTATCTAAATGTAAGAGCTAAAAACCATAAAGTTCCTAGGTAAAAATCACAAAGTAAATCCTATGACCTTAGGTGAGACAATGGTTTCTTAGCTGTGACATCAAAACACAAGTGACAAAAGAAAAACTAAAATGGACTTCATCAAAATCAAAGCTTTTGTGCATCAGAGGACACCTTCATGAAACTGAAAAACAACCCACAGAATGGAAAAAGGTATTGGCAAATCATTGTCTGACAAGAAACTAGCGTCAAGAATATACAAAGAACTCTTACAAGTCAACAATAAAAAGACAAAGAACCCAAATGTAAAAATAGCCAAATAATTTGAACAGACATTTCTCCAAAGAAGATATATAAATAGCCAATACACACATGAAAAAACGTTTAACATCATTAGTCTTTAGGGAAATGCAAGTCAAAGCCACAATGAGGGACCATTTCATACACACTAGCATGGCTAAAATAAAAAAGACAATAACAAATGTTGCACGTGTAGAGGAATTAGAAATCTCATACATTGCTGGGGGGGAATGTAAAATGGTGCAGCCATTATGGAAAACAATTAGGCAGCTCCTCAAAATGCTAAACACAGAGCTACCATATGACCCAGCAATTCCATTCCTAGGTATAAACTCAGAAGAAATGAAAACATATGTCCTCACGAAAACTTACGCTAGTGTGGGCTAGGGGGATGGGGTAATTGGACAGTGGTCATTAAGGAGGGCACTTCATGTAATGAGCACTGGGTGTTATATGCAAGTGATGAATCACTAAATTCTACCCCTGAAACTAATAATACACTATATGTTAGCTAATTGAATTTAAATTAAAAAAATATATTTGCTGGGGGAAAAAAAACAAAAAACAAACAAACAAACAAAACCTTACACAAGTGTGTATAGCAGCATTATTCACAGTAGCCAAAAAGGGGAACACTCTAAATGTCTAGCAACTGAAAAAAGGAGAAACAACTGTGGTCTTTCCAAACAAAATAGTATTATTCAGCTATAAAAAGGAATGAAGCACTGATACATGCTACATGAATGAACTTGAAAACATCGTGCCAAGTAAAAGAAGCCAGTTACAAAGGCCATATTGTATGATTCGGTGTATGTAAAATGTCCAGAAGAGTCAAATCCATCCACACAAAAAGCAGGTGAGAGGGCTCCTGGGTGATTAGTCGGTTAAGCGTCCAACTCTTATTTAGGCTCAGGTCATGATCTTAGGGTCCTGAGATTGAGCCCCATGTCAGGCTCTGTACTCAGTGGGGAGTCTTACTTGGATTCTCTCTCTCCCTCTGCCCTTCCTCTGCCCCCCCCACACACTCTCTCCTGTCTCTAAAATACATGAATACATCTTAAAAAAAAAAAAAAGTAGATTTGTGGTGGCATGGGCCTGGGGCAGGGAAGGGTGGAGTCAAGAAAGGAGTGTGACTATTAATGGGTAAGAGATTTCTTTTGGGGATGTTGAAAATGTTCTAATAGAGGGTGGCAACGGTTGCACAACTCTGTGAACAGACTAAAAACTACTGAGTTGTATACTTTAGGTGGATAAATTTTATGATATTGGAGACAACACAATTTTAAGAAGAAAATTTATGCTGAGCAAAAACTGATGGATCCAAAGGAGTCAGTCCATATATACGAAGTTCTGAAACAGGCAAAAATAATCTACAGTGATAGAAATCAGAGAGCAGTTGGCTGCAGGAGAGTTGAGGAGGATGAGGGAACTTTCGGGGGTGATGAAAAAGTGGCTTAACTGGGTATATATATTTGCCAAAACTTGAACTCTATAGTTAAGATTTGCATGTTGCACTGCATAGAACTTATATGTCAATAAAAGCTAAACATAAAGAAAAAAATCCCCAAACTGAAGTTTATAAAAGAAATATTCCTGGTTTAGAACATAATTATTTAAGAAAAGTGGCACTGTGTAGGGGGTCCCTAAGTCTGCCACCCCCATTTAGTGAGCTGTTAAGAAAATGTACAGGACTCGGCATATGGTCATACTCACAGCTATGACTTATTACAGTGAAAGGACACAATGCAAAATCCACAAAGGGAAAAGGCACAGGGGGCACAGTGTCCACGGGAAACCAAGCACAAGCTTCTAACAGTCCTTTCCCTATGGAGTCACAAAGGATGGGTTCAATCCCTCCATGTTGTGACAACTGAAACAACTGTGACAAAAGTGAAATGCTATCAAACAAGGAAGCTCCTGAAGAGACTCAGCGTTCAGGGTATTTGTTGGGGGCTGGTCATGGAGGCATCCTCAGCCTAGCAGTACATATTAAGATTCTGGACTTCCAGAAGGAAAAGAACTCAATACATGATCACAGTAGCATCTGTGATTAGCATAAACTACATTGTTTTTACACAGTTTAAACACAGTGAAACAATTCCACAGTATCTGTGTGGTAAGGATAGATGTTTTTTATTGGACTTACTTCTTGGCATTTCTATTTTTTTCCTATTTAAAATTTTTTTCTGTGTTAGAGATAAAATCCCTGCCATCCCCATTCATTCTTTCTTTATATTTTGGAATAATTCAAACTTAAAAGAAAAAGTTTAAGAAAAATATGAAGAACTCCCATAAACTCCTCCACCAGATTTAACAATTATTAACATATTTGCTTTACTTTTTCTTTTGCCATATCATTGGTGTGATTGTTGTTGTTATTAGAATAAGCTGCAGATATCACGCCTGTACACAAAAAAGAGGTAACACAGGAGGTCTGAAAGTGCTATCTTTAGAAAGGTCTTGCTTGGAAGGTTTGCCCTTGGCTGGTGTCTGGGGACCTGGATTTCCTAAATGCTACAAAATTGTACTCAGATATGAAATATTTGAAAAGAATTACATACCACATTGCAGGATGCAAATACTAGGTACTGCAAAGATTTAAATGAGTCCCATGTTCTTACCAGTTGTAGTGAACACCTGGTTTTATCAGGGCAGTGTGCTCTTCCCCATGTCTTGTGGTAACAAGATCCCTCTTTCCCATGGAGGACCTATTCACATGGTTCCAGTAGAGCGGACCATGCCTTCCACAAACCCCTCTCCCGCATGACCATTTCCAATAAACTGACTAGGGCTTGATGATTTCAGCCCCTACACCTCTGGCCACAGAAACTGGCTCAGAATTATGCACTTAATCCAAAGTGAGACAATTAGGTAAGACATTAAGAAAAACTTCTACTGATTAGACTGGGAAGATGAGAATCCTAGTTGCCTATGGCCCTCTTACTCACCATGTGAAGAGAACCAGGAGAAGACTAAGGCCATGCAAAAATAAGCAGAGCCAAGTGGAGCCTGGGTGGCTCAGTCGACGGAACATCCGATTCTTGATTTCAGCTGAGGTTACGATCTCAGGGTTGTGAGATCAAGCCCCGAGTAGGGCTCCATGCTGGGCATGGAGACTGCTTTAGATTCTCTCTTTCCCTTTCCCTCTGCCCCTCCCCCACCCTCTATCTCTCTCATAAATAAATAAATAAGCAAGCAAGCAAGCAGAGCCAAAAGAGATAGTGTCCAAACAATATAATCCAACTTTACCTGAACCTACCGTACCTCTTGAATTCTCAATGACAAAACTAATACCTTCCTTTTGTTCTTCTTTTTCTTTGGCAAGTAAATTAGGTTTTTGCCTCTTCTAACCAACAGTCTTAACTAATATAAAATTAAAATCCCAATGGGATACTGTTAGAAGAAAATTATTCTAAAAATTAATAAAAACAGTACACAAAATAATAGATTACAAAGTAGATGACACTAAAAGTGACCACATTATATTTATGCAACTTAGCTTATGATGGAGGAAACATCATAAATTAATGAAGGATAAAAAAAATACTGGGAAAATCAGTTATTTAAAAAAATAAAATAGAGCCTCATCTCATGTTCCCCAAAATTAATTGCCCAAAGTAGTCCAAATGAAGGAAAAAGACGTCAATACATACCTAGATTTTTTTCCAGCCACTGATGTCCTTCAATTAGTTGGTCAATTAAGGCAAAATAATGTGGAGCAGCTTCATCAGGCATAACCCAGCCACCTGTCACAATTTCAAACTGACCATTCTGTAGCAAACTAGAGAGAAAATAAATATAGGAGTTTACAATAACATATACAAGAAAAGTTCAAATAAAAGATTTAAAATAGCGTAAACATCAGGGACAGCCCTTAAGCAAGTATAACCATTACTTACATGAGTTACTAAAAAAGTTTTTTAAACCAGGGAATAAATTTCAACTTTGGGGCCCTGGTGATAAAACATCCTTAGTGAAGCGTGTGTATGTGACCCTTCCTTCCTAGGCAAAGCCTCTGCAGGTCACTTTGGAAGTTCCTTTTCATAAGGTTATAATCTCCCAGACAACTTCAAAGATCCTGATGTCAGGAGACACATCTGATTTATTTCTGAATCTTACAAAGCACCTAGCAAGGTGCTTTACTTGCAGTATGTCCTGAATGTTTACTGGAGGGCTGTCGTTTTAAGCATGATATTTGTTTCAATATACCTATATTGAATATCAATATTCATTTTAGTCCTTCTGACAATGGTAAGTTAATCATGCAAACTACACAAAAGGAATAATAATAAAGGTAAAGCCAGTAAATAACATATGCCTCTGGGAATACAGAAAACATCATAAAGCACTTTGCTCCAGATTCAGTTAAAATGTGTCTATATAGTTTATTTTACATTACTGAGTGAAAAGCTCTAACATTACCATTATCTGTCCATTGGGTACTCCTTTGCCATAATGCCATACAAGGTAACTAGATTCCCCACCCCTGGAACAACTGAATTGTTACAAGAAGATCCCTTCCTCCAAAAAAAAAAAACAAAATCGCAGACTATTAAAAATTTGAAGAAGTACCTGAGGAAGTATAGAGGTCAAGAATTTAAGCAAACACCTTAAATGCCATAGACTTGTCAGTCTGCAGTAAGATGGCTTGAGAAATTGTGTAGAATTCCAGAAAGAAAAGCAGCTTTAATAAGGATACACATCACCGGATACCTACCCTGAACAGCCGAGTACCAAGCCAAATTTTGTTAAAGCAGCCCAGAGGTATAGAAGATAAACGTTTTCCTACAAAGCCTATAACAGAATCCACTACATTAACACAACATCTGATTTATTCAAACATGTGCATAACCATACAACCAGTGAGAGAGTGGATAATGGACACAAATTTTAAAAATGAATGAATAATTCCTTGTATAAAATTTTTAAATGTTAATTTAATCCTGTATTGCCATGGGAATCACCAACTAACATAATTTCACATGGACACTATGATGGCTCATTATAGTGCCTAAAAAACCCCAAATGTCCAGTCAAACCTTAGATTCTCAGAGGCCCAAATCAAGAACTTAACAATATACAAACTGGGAATCTCCAAAAACAAAACAAAACAAAAAAAACCCCACATTTCTTTAAGAACACAACTAAATCCAAGGCTATTTTATCCTATTCTTACTGTCAAACTGCTTCCAGTCAGTTCTCTTTCTTATCTTTCTGGTGATTGCCAGATTTAGCCACACTCTGGAGGCCTTGGCCCAGACCCAGCTCTTAAGTCTTATGACCAGTACGTGGAAGCCTGAGACGTCAGGACAGATCTGGGATTTAAACTCTGGCCATCAATATAGAAACGTGGCTCCTTATCTCAGCACTCCAGTAAAGAGATCTTTTGGAAAATTTCAGAAATAAATTGGTCAAAACAAAGTCTTTGCTGCTTCTGAACAGTTAATAGAAATTACAGATTAAGAAGTCTAAAAATTAAAATTAAAAAAAAAAACACTCCAATGATGGAATTTCTCATCTCAGTTTTATTTTGCTACATGATCCCTATCCCCAGGCATGAATGGACTCCAAGAAACAGCTAAGCGAGCAAAGAATCATACCTACTATATACATTAACTAATTTCCCCAGGTCCATTTGTAAACAGTCTATCCCTTCCTCCTCCCCATGATGCCCCAGATGTCTGTGATCAGTATTGAGTTCTTATTCGAATGCAATGGTTATCTTAAAGACTGACTTGTCAATTTTGGGAAGGCAGGAAAAGCCTCCCATGCATTAAAATGCTTTCCACGATCTTTTTTACCTACTTATTTTCTTCTCTCCTATTTTTCCCAAACTGATTGGTCCCAGGTGTCCTCATGTCTCAGCCCAAATAAAACCTGCCCAGAGAAATCTCCCTGAGCACCCAACCTAAATCAGTTCTCCCACCATACTACCACACTCTCACACGATAGCATTTATCACCAACCAGAATTACCTTGTTCCGTTTCCATGTATGTCTCCTCCCTCTCCCTCCTCAACCCCACCCACCATGAGAGCAGAATGTAAGCTCCCAGAGAGCAGGGACTTGCACCTGCTGTTTTTTTGTTTTTAAATTTTTTATTTATTTATTTGAGAGAGAGAATGAGATAGAGAGAGCATGAGAGGGGGGAGGATCAGAGGGAGAAGCAGACTCCCTGCCGAGCAGGGAGCCCGATGTGGGACTCGATCCCGGACTCCAGGATCATGACCTGAGCCGAAGGCAGTCGCTCAACTGACTGAGCCACCCAGGCGCCCTAGCACCTGCTGTTTTGCTCACTTATCCACACCCAGCACTGAGAAGTGTGTGTGGCATGTAAGGGGCACTCTGACAGTTGTGAGATAAATGATGAATGACTGAACGAGACTCTCGGCTCAAAGTCAGTATTGACAGAAAGTTTTAGATTAGATGAAGCTCACAGACATATGCAAAATAAACTGGACAGAAAGGGGCCAGGTGGAAAGGGGTCTGAACAATCTGGGTGTGAGGTGGTACGACCCAGAATATGAAAGTGGTGGGGCCCCCGGGTGGCTCAGTCAGATGAGTGTCCGTCTTCGGCTCAGGTCATGACCTCAGGGTCCTGGGATCAAGCACCGTGTCGGGCTCCCTGCTCATAGGGGAGTCTGCTTCTCCCTCTGCCCCTCTCCCATTGCTCCTGCTTGCTTGCTTGCTCTCTCTCTCTCAGAGAAATAAATAAAATCTTTTTAAAAAATATGAAAGTGGTAGGAAATATGGAAGAGGAAGGAGAGAAAGGAGGTGTCTCATGAAAAATCATCCATGGGAATTGGGCAATGACTGGCAATAGAACAAAGGACGAAAGCACGTATGTCTTGGGTGTTAATTCCTGGTGTCTAACGGCACCGTAGTGTGACACACACAGTGGAGGTGAGAAGGGAGGTCACTTTGGGATCATAAACATAAATTTGGATAAGGCTGTCCGATAGGATGGTGAGACACCCCAAAGGAGCTAACCGAAGATGAAAAGTTCAAGAAAAGAGGCTGATAGAAAAATTAAGCTTGGAGGGACTAAAACAAAGAGGAAACAGAGAAGCTAGGAGGTGAGGAGAAAACAATCAAAAGGAGAGTCAAGGACCAAGCAGAAGGAAAATATAAAATGAAATAGAGGCAATAAGAAATGTGAAAGATAAAAAGAATAAATCTGTGCAAACAGCCTGAAACATTCTAGAAAACAGTAATGAGGTGCAACCTACGCTCCCACTTGGTAAAAGGCATTTTTACAGTTAAAAAGCTACCATGTAATTGCGACTTACTCAGAAAAGGACACATTGGTGGGCCAGAATATAAAGCTGAGAAATAAATTTTTTAAATATTTATATGATTAAAATAGCAAATTACATTACTGGAAAAGAATGGGATATAGTTTTATTTATAAAAGCTTCACTCAGAGGGATTTAAAACAAACTTGTAAGAAAGCCAAGTTATTATGTCATATAAGCCAGAAGACTGATACTTTGAAAGAGCATGCTCATATAGGTTTTTAAGAAAAACTATATGAATAGGTCACAACAGGCATGAATGTCACAGTCGCAGGCCAGAAAGGACACAGGTTTTAGCTTTTCGTAGGATAGTTTCTCTAACCAAGCAGAAGAAAAACCAAACGGAAAAAAAAAAAAAAAAAACATGATATGAAGTACGAAGCAATATAACAATGACTAGACACCTGGCCAAACAATCAGGTTGGTGAGTACTCCTATTCCACTGAACTGCCTGGTTTTCCTAGTCTATACATAAGAATGGTGAAAAACAGATGATAAACTGGAAGACTCCTAGAGGCAGGAAGGTGTGGTCTTATATTAAATATTCACTGTGTTAGGCAAAAACACTCCCCAAAACCAAAACCAAACCAAACCAGAAACCCACACACAGCAGTTGCAGAAGAGAGAAGGGCACAAAATTCCCATGTATATGCCTGTATTCTAGAATATATGCAGTTAAGTATCTCATGAATGACAGAAAAACAAAAAAGGTCCAAAGAAACACGAGGAAAACATTAACCTGATGATTGAGAAACACAGCAATGATCTTCATCATTTAGTAACAAGTACAAAAAGTAGAACTGCCAGTCTACAGAAACACCACCTCAGGAAAGACTTAGAAAAATATTTATAAGCAATAATAGAAAGGCTATGGTAGCCTACAAAAAGGTGGCTTTTTTATTTATATATATATTATTTATATATAATATATAAAATAAATATATATTAAATATATATTATATATTAAGTATATATTATTTATATATTTATAAATTGCCACTGTTAGCAACATGATGAAAATAAAATTAAGACAGACCGCAACTGTATATTTGAGACTTTGATTTTTTTTTTTTTTTTAAATCAAGCAATGGGAAGTACCTACAGCTACAGAAAAAGTCACTTAGAATACAGGTGCTTCCAATGTCCATGCACTTAGTGCTCAACAAGCAAAACTGAGCTATTTCTCTGGCCCAGAGGAATACAAAATCGAAAAAGACATGCCCACTCCATCGGATCTATTCATCGTTTCTGCCAAGAGACTGGCTTCTGGCAAAATTTTTGCATGTACACTTTTCCTCGTATTTCCTAATAAACATGAGATCTAGAAACAAAAGTGAAAAGACAGGGAAAGGGAGGGAAAGAGAAGAATATAGACATACAGAAAATAGGAAACCAGGCATTAACTTCAACATTAACAACACTCCTGTTTCACTTTTTCAAATGGCTGACTTGTAACCACTGGTAACAGCAATACACATTTCTGTTTC